AGTAGCTTTAAGCTCGTAACATTTTACATCTATTTATAATTAAGTTTAATAATTAGATAATGCACTAAAGAACATAGACTAATAATATGCAAAAAAAAAAGACAATTCCCCTAACTCTTAATATTTTCCTGGCTTTCTAACTCCGCGACAAGAGCTGCTACAATTTCATCCAAGCTAGTCCTTAACATTCCCATGGGAATAAACCGTGTATTATAAGTGAAACTGACATCTATCTGTTCAGTACACAATGTAATATAATACATCATTTGATAGATGCAAGCATTGATTTTCTATTGGCTATAAATAATATATAATTAAATGTAAGAGAGGACTATTAACAAATCATAAAAGAGAGGATGTGACAGGTGGGTGTGGCAGGAGGGGGTCTGATTTTATATTTGATAGCTCTGTAACCAAACAAAATTGAAGGCAATAAAAATTATGGTTTGTCTGAGCAATGACAATTTTATAGTGAGTATTTTACGTTTTATTTCATCATTACAGGAGAGGGGGGATAGAATAGAAAAGATACCTAGAGAAAATGTGTTGTGTAACACTAGGGGAAATTCAGGATTTTTTAAAATATTGCCTTATAGATTTAAGATATGGATTATTAGCTAATGTTTTATGCTATACTAATTGGTATAATATAAAATGTATTTTAATAAAATTTTAAAGTAAGACACAAAAATCTTGTGACACGTGCAGTAAAGGATGCCCATAAGTATAGAAATAAACAATCTCCAGTTTCCCGAGCCTCTCTCTCTCTCCACCATGTGTATAAGTAATCGGGCTTAGTCCAGTACCACGTAGTCAATTTATTTTTGCCATTTTTTGATGCTTTTCGTAATTACCTTTAAATAGCAGTATGGAATCGAAATGTAAAACATTTCCAAGTGTTAGTGAGGTAAAGAAAATCCACAAAGTTATTACATTAGCTGAGAACGTTCAGATCCTTGATAAATTACACAGCGGGATGAGTGTAGCATCCATAGGCTGGGAATATGGTGTGAATGAGTCTTCCATACATATGATTAGGAGGAGTGAAGAGAAAATCCGTGCAAGTGTTAAGGCTTCTGCCCCTATAAGTGCTAAGGTTTCTCAAGTGTCCAGGAGGAATCCATTCATGGAAAAAATGGAGAAATTATTGAATGTGTGGATCAGTGAACAAAAAAAAAGGCTCTGTTGTTGATAGCGTAGCTATATGTGAGAAAACATGTAGTTCGTATGAATGCGTAGTCTCCAACGATGTAGTTTGTATGAATATGTAGTCTCCAACGATGGAGTTTGTACGAATACGTAGTCTCCAGTGATGTAGTTTGTATGAATATGTAGTCCCCAATGAGTGTGGAAGTGCTGCAGGTGCCAGGGTGGAAGTGCTGCAGGTGCCAGTGAGTTTCAGACAAGTAAAAGCTGGTTTGTCTAATTTAAACAACCTGCATAATCTGAAGCTGGGTCAGCCAATAGCGATGCAGCTGCATGGTTCAAGCTGTGGTTCTTTGAATTCATTAAGGAAAAAGGATATACTCCTCGACAGTTGTTTAATGCAGATGAAACAGGTCATACATCACCAGGGAGCAGAAGGTTGCATCTGGGTTTAAGGCCTTTCAGGATAGGCTCACTTTGCTTTTTTCCGGGAATGCATAGGGTGACTTTAAATGCAAGCCTATTTTAGAGTATCACTCTGCAAACCCACATGCATTAAAAGGCAAGAATAAGCAACATTTGCCTGTTGTTTGGTGTTCAAATAAAAAGGCTTGGGTAACTAGGATGCTATTCAATGACTGGTTGCAAAATCATTTTGTGCATGAGGTTAAAGAATACCTGGCAAAGAAAAACCTTGGGTTTAAGGTTCTTATAGTTTTGGATAATGCTCCTGACTCTGACACACTGCAATTCAGCCATCCTATAGTGGAGATAATATTTTTACCTACCAATATCACATCCATCCTGCAACCGATGGACAGAGGAGTAATAAAGTCTTACTATACAAGGAATGTTTACTGATGTGCAACCCAAGCTATAGACTCCGAAGTTTTCGAAAACTTAACCGAGTTTGGAAAGCTTATATCGACTGTATCGATATCACCTAAATGTCATGGGACAAGGTGAAAGAGTCTACCATAAATGTATGCTGGCATCATCTTTGGCCTGAAGTCGTGAATGATTTCAAGGGCTTTTCAACGGTTGAGAAGGAAGTTGCCGATATCATGAGACTCGCTAAAGAAATCGGAGGTGAAGGGTTTGATAATATGAGGAGGTGGTTGAGCTACTGGAATCCCATTACTAGGAGCCAACGAATGAAGAACTTGAAGCGCTGATAGCCTCCAGCAACAGTCATGAAGATGCTGAAGAGACAGAACCTGCTAAACCCATCCTCACAGCAAAGGCTGTGTCTGATATCCTATGCAAGGCAGATGAGCTCACATAAATGACTGTAGACATGGATCCCATAATAATGGAGAGAAGCATTAGCGTTAAAAGAGGGTTTAATGACTTTCTAGTACCCTACAGAGAAATCTCAAAAGATTTGCAGAGGAAAGCTAAACAGCCGAAAACTACTGACTTTATGAAGCCCGAGTCAACTGATGTAATGATTTCTGACCCCCATCTCATCGACTTCTGTTTCATTGGAGTTTAAGGCCAAATTTTCCAATGATCCAGATGATCTATTGGCCTTAAACTAACCTCTCAGCCTACAAATCTATTATCATCATCATCAACAAAAGGTCTTTGTCTTCATCATTTGTATGTGAGTGTTACAATACTATATTATGTTAGTTAACATATTTTCGTGTTCAGGTGCAGGATATCACACATGAACGTTGTTATGTTTATGATTTTATATCTTAGTTCACATACAATACTATATAGATCGGGCTTTTCATTTATGTGTAAAAAAATCCATATATATAAACATTTATCAGACACTTAACGTGGCCGTGTTCCCGTATCCCTATTAATCTGATAAGTTATTGAGTTCTTCCAACACGGAATTTGCCCAACATAGCTTGCTCGAGGAACGTATCCTCCGTGTTGGAGGAAAACCCACTGTACCAATTTTTCAAAATATAAAATTAGTTTCAGAATCTTTATTTTAATTGTTCTAAATGACTAACATTCAAGAGAAACTTTTTCATACATGTGTTTTCTTATTTGCTTGTTCGAGACATTTACATTTATGAAAGTGGGCATTAGTACTGTTCTGAGTTGATTTTTCACATATCAAGTGCTTATCATAATGTTCTTTATGATATCAGTACAAGCAAGATTTCTTTCAATTTTAAGCTTGAGGAATTTCTTTAGTGTCCATTGGGATATTTAATAATGTACTGCAAGACCAAATACAAAAGGTTTTGTAGTTTGTTACTTAGTCTAGAAGAAATGAACGGAAACATTTTCACACATTTCATGTTATTTCATAATCTCTACATGAATGGTACTTAGATTTTAACTATTACACATATTATTTTTTATTTCTGTAACATTATGATTAAGATTAAAAGACACACACAGTTGTAATATCAGTAAATACTGATAATCTGGCCAAAATAAATATTTTTTGCGATATCCATAAAGAAAAATTAAGATAAAACTGATATCATCTTTCATTTCTAGGAGAAGATAGTCTGTCAAAAACTGAAGCCACGAGTTTAGTCGATTGGCTGAAAGGAACTCTGGGAGACAAAGCCCATAAAGTACAGGTAAGCTGTGTTTTATTTTAAGAAACATTCATATGTTGGAGTAGTGTGTGTTGTTTTTATATAAAAGGTTTGTATCAGTGGAATACTGTGTTTGAATTTTCAAACTGTAAGTTGTTATGTTGGAATACTATGCTTGTGTTGTTTTCTCAGCATTTATTACATTAACTACCTCTTTCTGGAGAAGTAAGGAGTGGATAATTTAGTGTTATCAGAACCAGCTTGTATTTTAAACAACACCTTCGTGATCCCAGAAGTAACCATCAGATCACCACTTTTTGTAGTGTTCACTACTAACATGGCATCGTGTTGATTAACTTAATGTTTGTGCATGTTAGGAAACCACGTAAAGAACTGACCAATTGGGTGAAATCACTTAGTTTCTATATAAACTACACAACAGTGGGATTAATAACACTGTTGTTGACAGTTTGTATGTGTCTCCTATATTGTTAGAGATCTGTAGCCAACAACATCATCCACTCACAAGCAAACAAGATAAACGTTTTTTTTTAACTAATGAAATCCTCTGAATAGGTGGAGTAAGCAGTCACCTTAACCTTCATTACACAATTTTCTGGAGTACAGCCTTCAAAAGTACTTTTCACTAAACTTATGTTAGATATACATGAATGTTTTAATCTAACGATACTGCAATTGTTAAATTTAGTTATTTTTACAAGCAATAGTTTATTGCTGGTTTGTTTGCAAAACTGTGCAAATCCTACGTTGTGTGGTTCAATTATTGTGAATTGGCCTTTGTTGCATTTTTGCATCATGATATTAGAATGGTCTTAAGTTTTCTCATTGTTTTGATCCAATATTATTACATCCTATCTCATAGTGTGTAGAAAGCTCTAGGCCTCAGTCGGGCTATTTATAAATACGCATCCAAAATGTATTTCAAGTTAGTTTTATAGGAAGTTAAGTGAAAGTTAGTGAGAGGCAAATAGATCTAGAGTATGTGTTTATAAATTTAATCAAAAGAGTTTATTGTGGCAATTTATAAAATGAAATTATCACAGACTGTATTGTAACAACAGAGTAGAGAATAATAATTTGTCTTTTCAATTGTATTCTAAAATAATTGAACAAACATGTGTGGAATTTTGGCAAAAAGAGACAATTATTTAAAGTTTTGTAATGTAATGAACATTTGTATATACGTTTGACTTGTTTTAATATAGGCCAGGCTTAAAAATTATTAGGTAGGTAATTTATTTATTTTTTAAAAATTGCTTTGCAAAAAAAAAATTTCAGAAATAATTAGTTTCGTGATCACCTAAAACATAACGCATTAAACCATGAATACAGTTACAATCAACATTTATTTTAGGAAGAGAATTACAGAAATTTCAAATTCTTGCTGGTCACTGTTGCCAACAGTTTTGCGGTTATTCGATTTCATCTTGTTTGCCAAGAAAATCTACGATTACTTCCCTCCACCTGGATAAGTTTCCAATCTGAATTAATTTGTTTTTCATCCTAATCATCAATCTGCGAGAACATTTTTTGGAGACAGATACACGAAACAGACTTGTGTTCACCATGTTGTTGATGTATGCTCGTCAATAGTAAATTCTCACCTACTAGGTTGTGTATGTATTACTTTAGTGTAAAGAGTCGTAGGGACAAGATAAGCCATGTTGTTGATGTATGCTCATCAATAGCAAATTCTCCCCCACTAGGTCGTGTATGTATTAATTTGTGTAAAGAGTCGTAGGGACAAGATAAGCCATGTTGTTGATGTATGCTCGTCTATAGCAAATTCTCCCCCATTAGGTCGTGCATGTATTACTTTAGTGTAAAGAGTCGTAGGGGACAAGATAAGCCATGTTGTCAAACTTCAGTCCATTGAAATTAAAGAATAGGTTGAACAATCACCAAGTTTTTGTTATATTTTTATTTAAAGAAGGATGACATTTCGAGCTATCACTCCTCAACAGATTGTACAGCTTCTATACGCTCTTTACAGCTAAACTTACAAACATACAGACTAGATCTGTGTTACTATATCTCTCACTAACTTTGTCTTACTTGAAGTACATTTTAGACACATATTGATAAATAGCAACTGAGGCCTAGAACATGATGCAATAATACAAAATTTACAATACTTGAACTCCACAACATATGAGTTACGTAAAGAAACTATACAACAGCTGAACTCCACAACATATGAGTTACGTAAAGAAAGTATACAACAGTTGAACTCCACAATATACGAGTTACGTAAACAAACTATACAACAATTTACAACAGTTGAACTCCACAACATACGAGTTACGTAAACAAACTATACAACAATTTACAACAGTTGAACTCCACAACATACGAGTTACGTAAACAAACTATACAACAATTTACAACAGTTGAACTCCACAACATACGAGTTACGTAAACAAACTATACAACAGTTGAACTCCACAACATACGAGTTACATAAACAAACTATACAACAATTTACAACAGTTGAACTCCACAACATATGAGTTAGGTAAAGAAATTATCACTTCTAAAAATAACTAAATTTAACACTCACACTAAACTTAAATTAAAACAGTCGTGTATATCTAACAATATTCTAACCAAAATATGGCGCTAAAAAATTTTAAACTCAACAAATTTTGTTAGATGGGTTGGTAGGAGTAATTGGTGAAAATAAAATTTCCCTGGTCATAATGTCATAAAAATCTTTCCAATTTCAGAAGATTGGTTGGGTTACAGCAAACAGAAATATTTTTAAGCCTGACCATATCTGTTATTTTTAAACAAATGGATTGTGTGCTGTTTGTTTATTGAAATTTATCACCAGCAAAGAATCCTGCTCACACATATGAAAAACCCCAGCCTTCATAAGTAAACTCATCATTAAATTAAGATTTGTTTCATTAAAGTAATTACGTTCTATCTGAACAAATAAATCAAGGAAAACATGTGAATCATGCAGCATGAAATCATTGTTTGTTCTGGTGCATGTGTTTATATAAATATTTTGTGATTGTAAACACGTCCATCTTACTGAGCCCCGTTGCCATGTAGATAACAAAACGACTGTCCTCTCATCCGTGTCTGGTCTCCGTTGAAGAAATGGCTGCGGCACGCCACTTTGTACGTACGTCTCTTCAGTCCATTCCAGAAGATCAAAGGTATAAACTATTGGAACCCACTCTCCAGATTAACCCCAGGTAAGATGTCACTTTGAAAACTTCATTACTCACTAATAACTCGATTTAAATCCAGTATTTTAAGGGTTAGAATGGCTTTCTTCTGCTGTGTTGAGGTAAATCGTGTATGAGCAGCTTTTAGAAATATTAAAATCCTAACTAATCCAAATGTTTTTATTCTATTAGATAGTTGAAAGTTATGTAAGTTTTTGTAACAATAGTTGTCGGTATTAACTTGTGATAGTGTTCTATAAAGTGTTGAATCAGCATATGTAAATATTGTAACAGATAAAAAGAACTGGTAGTTAAGTTCTTATGCAATGACATTAAATTTGAGGTTTTGTGAATATTTCAACAGTGTAGTTAAGATGATATTTCTTAGCTATTCTAGTTTAACTTATTTTTATTACAGCCATCCAATCATGAAGAAACTGAGCTTATTAAAAGACAATAATCCACAGTTAGCTGAGCTGCTAGCCAAACAGGTAGTTCAAACATTTGTATTTTAATTAGGAACAAGTAATATCTTACCCTTGCTGACTTTTCTTTCACATATAATACACAAAATTGGTTGTACACTTTATCACCAACATAAAAATGTTGGTATCTTAAGAGATTCTGGTGTAAACCATATTAGAACAATCCTTATTGGATGAGCACATATTTTACAAATATTAAATAGAGTACTTCCTCTTTCATAGCAAATTAAGCTTCTTGTTGATTCTCAAGGAGTGAACAAACTTTTATTTAACAGTATGAGGCATGATAATTTAGCTGTTTTACAATGTTAAAAAGGGTCGTATAATTTTTACACATTTATTTTTATAAACAAAATTAGTAATTTCAATTAAGATGTATATGCTGTTTTAATAAAATCACTAATATTGTTGACAGTGAGTTTGTGTTAATATAAAGTAAATTCACTGATATTGTTACTATTTGAAAGAAGGCAACAATTGTGTAATAAGATACATTGTAAAATTGGAATTACAAATATTTAAAATTACTGCAAATTATTCTTATGAATTCAAATTTATTTCAGGTTTTTGACAATGCCATGGTGACAGCAGGATTAGTGGATGATCCTCGAAGAGTAACAGGAAATCTAAATGAGCTAATTACCAAACTTTTAGAAAGTCATTAGAACAATTTGTAATTCCAAGAAAAGTTTTGTTTAGAACTGTTAACTTGTTCGTGTAGGTTGTAGTGAAGATAGAATAATTAAGTTTATAATTAAAATATTCCATAACGAACTTCACTGACCATGTTCTCATTACCATAGTTTCTGATCTATTGAATTATAAACTGTATGACAATTTCACATTTCACTTTTTTCATTGCTGAGAATGGTGACCTGGTGTAGTTTTAAACACAATGAACTATAACATTCTAGGGCACGTGTTTAAGTTATAGAGATACAGTTCCTACCACGGAATTAAAATAAATAAACATAACTTGAAGTATCATGTTTGAAAACAATCACTTCTTGACTTTATTATGTTAATGATTGGTCCTTTAATGTGATTTGTATATATGTGAACCATGGTTAGATAATACGTGGAGATTCATTCCCTTAATGGCACTGGTCAGTTACAACACGTTATTCCAGCCAGTCTGAAGAGCTCTGGATTGACCATAATATGGTTAGAATACTATTCTAATTCTTGAAAATTTTCAAGATGCTAAATTAAGAATATAGTAGGCCTAATTATAATGTTTTATGAGTGTTGACCTTAGAAGATTCTTCCAAACATCCACAATACTGCTATAGACTTGCCCTCAATAAAGTGGAAAATAAAACAGGTTCAAGTTTTTTTACAACACAATATTAATTCTAGAACATTTTAAAGTGTATGAATTAAGAACATTTGTGATTAATAGTCTAAAAGGTTATTAGATAGTATTTCAACATTTCTTGTGGCAGAAATTAAATTTATTGGATATTCCTGGAAGAAGACGTTAGTAACATAAACAAAAGTTATCGATGATATTGGAGATTAAGTAACCATTAAATTAATGCTAGTTTTAATGATCACCTATTATTGAAATGTAATGGTGGTCTTGGCATGTTCTTTCCTATAGCTGTTGACGGCATAATTAATTTATAGAAGTACAAAAGACATACCAAGAATACCTTGGCAACCAAATTGTAAAACTACAGATCACAAAATGATGTGTTATCCATGAGATTTCTACAACAAAGCATGATAAATTATTCCATGTGCTTACATTCTGGTGACAAAAATACTATTCTCAAGGAGTATAGTTCCTGGTTTTAAAGTAAATGCTGAAACTTACTCACCTACACGGCGGCAATTGTATATTTATTTTTTTAAATGGCCGTGATGCCCTCAGAAACTCACTAAAACCTATGGCCACCCTTCAGTTATCGTGTCCCACAGTAAAGGTACTAAAAGTTTGGTAAATTAGTAAGTGGATAGAGATGCCTGAAATTTGTAAGGTCAAAGGTCAGATCCTACAAACCTTTAAAATGCTTCTCCTCCCAGGGATTTTCAGATCAGCATGATATTTATTTTTTTAAATGGCCGTGATGCCCTCAGAAACTCACTAAAACCTATGGCCACCCTTCAGTTATCGTGTCCCACAGTAACGGTACTAAAAGTTTGATAAATTTGTTCATGATTTGTAAGGTCAAAGGTCAGATCCTACAAACCTTTAAAATGCTTCTCCTCCCAGGGATTTTCAGATCAGCATGATACCTCTTTCTTTAATTTTAAAGCTGATGTACTGTTACTTCGTAAATCTTATTGGTTAAAGTTAATACTTACCTACCCGAAAGATAGGGCCAGTTTCCCAAGCCCTAATTAATTCTATATTTACTAAACTAATCGGTTAACATTATTGTGGCCTTTGTGCCCTCCAGTGTACAAGAAATAAACAATACAAGACCCAAGTTTATAGTTTCGCCCCTATACATTTTCATGTACAGTAGCAAGACCTTTAATTATAGTCACAATAATTTACAGAATTAAAGTCATTACAGTTACTTTCATTATCCAGCTGGGTAAACTAAGAGAGCTTCCACTACGTTAAATATTCAAGAAATAAGTTATTGCTAAACCTGTAAGGATTTATTGATTAACTCAAAAACAAAACCAGGTTATAAATTATAAAGCAGATTTTCAATGACTAGGGCACGAAAATCAGTTTTGGAATGTTCCACACACAAAACAACAACCTACTGCTGTATAACTCTCTCCACAACATACACAAAACAACAACCTACTGCTGTATAACTCTCTCTCCACAACATAGTTTTAGTATTTAAAGAAAGAATATGTTTCTTGATAAGTGAGTTTTAGTTTTAATCCAAGTTTGGAAGATTATAGGAGTAACATCAAGAACTTTTATGACACAGAGATTCATTTGACACAAATTCTACCAGTTAATACAACCACAGCAGTCAATTTAAAAACTTTAAATGTTCTGTAATAAAGTGAGAGGTCCAAATTTTGTGCACTTAAATACAATGTTTTAGCCCTTATTTTCATGATTTAGAATACAAAACAAAATATTTGTTCTATTATTGATAAACAGTGGAATAACTAGCAAATATACAGCCAAATATACTGAAAAAAAATCACACATTTTCTGTTGATTTGTTTCACCTGTCTAAATAGTAATAGATTTGTATATGTCATATTTTGTTTGATCATTTCAAAAAATAGGGGAACAGTTGCATCTATAACATCGACTAAACAAAGATGAATTATCTAACAATAAGATAGTGAATCTATCCTCTCAGTGGATACGGGAACTTTGGAACCAAAACGTACACATTAAAACACCACAGTATTAATCACTGAATACACTACACATTCAATGACAAGCTGGTTTCTTGTACATGATCCGAGACATCTTAGCCCCTGGTGGTAAGTATAAGAGACACGATCAATCCGTACAGACCCAAAACTTCGGCGAAGATGAGAATCAAGATCATGCCGACAAAAAGACGAGGTTGTTGTGCCGTTCCTCGAACACCAGCATCACCCACAATTCCAATGGCAAACCCTGCAGCAAGGCCACTAAGCCCCACACTCAAACCAGCACCAAGGTGCAAAAAGCCACTGTAACGATTAAAGATTTGTAAAAATGAGGAAAAGTATCACGACTTTATAACAATAAAATAGATCAATATTTTATGTTGTTAAAGATACAACAATAAAATAGATCGATATTTTGTGTTGTTAAAGATACAACAATAAAATAGATCAATATTTTGTATTGTTAAAGATACAACATAATAAAATAAATCAATATTTCGTGTTGTTAAAGATACAACATAACAATAAAATAGATCGATATTTTGTATTGTTAAAGATACGACATAACAATAAAATAGATCGATATTTTGTATTGTTAAAGATACG